TCTGAAGTATCGAACCGAGTGTGACAATCGCGACGCATGACTTCATAGACATCTTTATCAGTAATCTCATATATCAGCGAGTCGGTGTCGGTATAAAGGACTGAGCAGTCGTTACCAAACTCGGGCACCATATAGTCATAATGAAAGTCATAGATTGTGGTTTTGGCGAGATCCAAGATCGACATACCAACGTATATCGGCTTGTTAAAGAAAACTTCAGTCTTATTTAACTCGACAGCAACCAAATTCTCGTTGAAAATGGTAGCTGCCTTGAACTCGGGTTTAGATATTAATGCCGCCGCACCATAACGCCCATCCCATTTATTAACCAATTTAACGATTGAGTGCTTGCGGATGTTCTCCATGGTTTTTCCGAATACTGCATTATTCATTAGCTTGAACAAATTTTTTTCAAACTCGTTTTTAGCTGCCTGACGTAACGCGGTATTCAGATCGATGTAAGACTTAAGCCATGGAGACTGTTTGAATTTCAATACGCGGTGGATTTTCGTAAGCTTGAGCCCGTGTTTAAGTGCTTGTTTTAAAGCTCTATAGTGAATAACATACCGGGTCTTATTCTGTAAAGTTGCCAAAAGTTTAGAATTTTTACATCCGGGACGAGCGCTATGTTCGGGACAGAAAGGTAAGTCGCGATGTGAGTCATGTAGATGTTCAGGGTATTCCAAGTCAACTTCAAGCAAATACCCTTCAGGAGAAGTATCAGATACGCTGGTGACGTCGATATTTGTATCGGCCCACTCGAACCCACCATATGGCAAGTACTGGGACATAGCCCAACCGTACTGATTGTTAATGTCAAAATAGGATAAATACTTTACCGGTTTACTCGGGTCGAAATTTGGAAGATACTTATTATTAGCCGCGCTTTTACGTTTAGAGCATTGACTTAGACCTCCACGAATTCCCCGTTCGACAAACATTACCATATCGATATCGGTCAAAAGTTCTAATGTCTGACGTGTCTTAAACAGCATACAGTCCCAGGTGTATCCAGGTAGGGTGTAGTAATTAGCCGGATCGAGACCGTATGTCTTATGGCAACTGCTACGAAACTGCTCAAAAACGTCAGCCAAAAATAAAATATCGGTTTTCATGTACAAGTCCGTGTACTCGCCTAAATTTTGAATTTTGAATGATTGCCAAACATTTTGCGCGTGCGCGTACTGTTTAGATGATATGTTCTTATCCTCTAAACGATTATAAAAATGCAGTTGTTCTGGTAAAGACGCGAAATTAAATTTAGCAAAACTATCCATAAAATCATACGGATAAAACCCCTTTTTAGTTAATAAATCAAACTGATCCGCATCGAACCCAGAAAACTCTGATTTTAAATTTGGAAACTCGGTCAAGTATGATGAAAGAGCATCCAACGAGGAAGCCATAAAACGGAATGAATCGATAAATCGGAATTTAATTAAATTTTGATCTAAATTTTTAGTGAATGAAATGTATTTTTCTTTAGTTATCGGGAGCACGTCGACTCTACCCGGCATATCATTCGCGATATTTTCCAAAATGAAGTGGGCATCGTACCCGCTCAGGTTGTGAAAGATAACAGGTATAACAACCTCATCCTTGTAATTAATGTTACACGCGTTGTGCGCGGCGCCCCTGTAGTTATTTTCCGGAACCAAATGAAAATGGTCACGGACTTTAACGTCCTCTGGCTTAAACGGCCGTTCACAGATGTGGCAGTGTGTTGCTTTACCAAATTCGGCCTCTTGCGCAGAGGTCATCATTATGTCGTAAGGGCATAAGAAAACCGTTTCTACGTCCTAAGCGAACGCAGACATTTCGCGAGCGAACCAAGACATGCAGTCCTCACCACGATAAGAGCGATAAAAGGATAACGACGAATCGTATGAACACTTTACGTAGTAGCCTATGGCAGCAGGCACATGACGTTGGTACTTGTTGCCTGAGTTCTCCTCTATTAGAACACTCTCGAGGTCGGCATATATAATGAAGGGGACCTTTTCCTTGTTTTTATAATTTTTAAATTTTAGGTCTTTTTGGTCCTCGGTTGGTAGTCTGACTCTGCAGTCATTCTGATTTTTGCAGTCGATGTAGTGCGTATCTAGTTTTTCTTGACTGTAGAAGTAATGTAAACATCTGTCGCAGAAGTACTTCTTCGCATGATTTTTGCTAAGTTGTTGTGACAGGAGGCGTGATAGATCTTTTATCCATACATAGTGGTATTTCGTTGGAAGGCCATTAATTTTTTCATTTTCATCATCGACATCGTCTTGGTATTGATCTTGTATTAAAAGCATGTTGACATGCCTATCTTTTTTGTCCTTCGTCAAATAAACTGGGTGTGTGGCGAAGTTATTTTTTGTCTTTTTAAGTATGTAAACGTTAACCGATACCCCGTTTTGTTTCTCGAACCTGGGTATCTGCTTCATTGTCATTGGGAACTGGATACCTTTTAAATTTAGAACCGATGTGGGTTGAGGGTAAGACGATGTTCTATCGGGGTGATTTCGAAAATCAACTGGATACAAGGCCGATGTCACCGCCCACGCGAAGCAGGCGTCATCATCGTTTTTTACGTTGACGCATGCCCGCTTTTTCTTAATTGATGTGGGTAAGTCGATGTACGATGACCCCAGCTGCGGCGTGAACTTGTTTATGTTGATTCCTAAGTTGGTTATAGAGCTCAACGCCCAGCCACTATCACGCTCTTGGAATTCGTCGAGCTCCGTAGAAATCGGCATCACTACATGTTCGTGAAACCATGCCTCTAGATTGGTGTCTCGATAAATTGGCGAATTCTTAGTTGTAAAATATTTCGGCTCCTCCAGAATCCTGTCTGCTTTTTGTAGTCGGAATTGTCCGCCAAACACCGAGTTGACCTTCACCGCCTCTTCCTTCTTCAACACGTTAGCAATGCGCCGCTTGAAGAGTGCGAGGCTGTCCTTGAGGAACTCCTTGGGGTCCTTGTGTTTTAAATTGCTTATTACGCCGGTGCGGATACGGCTATCGAAAGCATTAGCCGAATCATCCCAATGAACGCGATCCCGCGATGTTTGTTTGCGACTGGGGTTATGTCCTAAACCCGTCTTCTTTATGGACTTAAATTGGCGGCTAAAGGATTTTATTTGCGCCAGCTGCGTCAATAGATGCTGTTTTCTCCCGATAGAGTCTTCCTTTTTTATTTCTTTGCGAATCCTGCGCATAGCCTGAGCGCATTCTTTTTCCCCCTTTTCAATCTCGTTGGTGTTGGGTGTTAGCATTAGAATGGCTAGGAGAGCGCGAAAGGCTGCAATGATGCTATTAATATACGACATCTTGAATAGCGTAGAGCACGAGAAGAAAATTGTGATCTTAACACTTCAAAGATAGACTGGCTAGAAGATCGCACGGGGCGCGTAGTTATTACCTTTCAGGTAACCGGTGTCGGTGAGATATAATTTTTAGGCCTGAAACGAGGTCACGTGATTAAGATGTGTTTGATTAAAAAATAGGGCATATATTCTCGCACACGTGATTAAGATGTGTTTGATTAAAAAATAGGGCATATATTCTCGCAAAAAGTATAAGACAAAAAATTTTGAAAGTGAGTCAAACGAAAAGATAGTGAGCGCTTTCTACCTACTACGGGGCAAGCATATCATCGATCGCGAACTAATGAAAAAATATCAATGAAACCCACTATCTTATTGCAAGACGTTTAATTTGATATGCGACACGCCATATTTTAAAAAAATCACCTTTATTGAAGACGTTTCAACACCTTTTTTAAAAAATCAAATATGATAACAGCGCGTGTAGATAAGACTCAAGACAGCGTACTGAATGGAAGTACCAGATATACCGCCGCATCCGGCTTTTATACTCCGCTCGAAACCTAATCTCGAACCTGTCCCTAACGGTCGATATCTAAAAGGCCTCTTAAAGTTTACGATTTGTGCGTCTTTGCCATTAGAATCAGTGTTAATTTACGATATTTGGCAAAGTGTAGCGTTTTCCCCATTAAAACACGTGTAAGTTGTGGCACACTTGATAATTACGCCCACGCGCGCGAGCTCGTCAAACAACGGCTAACCGATAACAAAAAGGCCCCCTGATATCCACGATTTGTGCGCTCCGGCCATAAGAATCAATGCTAATTTTAAGATTCCGCCTAGTCTGATACGTTTTGCGTGTAAATCGAAGCACATACGGGTTGATAGCGCACGTAAGATGTAGAAAGCACGTGATATGCGTGGTGGTAACGGTGCGCATCTTAAGCTTTAATCGTTCTTTCTTCGCTGATCTGTTGAGGTGTACGGAGGTGTGTGTGTGTGTGTGGTGCTCGCGAGGGTTTGGTGGTGAGCTGGTGGTCGACTTTCTTCCTCACGTTAGCGTGACAGGTACCGCTTTCATGCGGGAGAGTACAGCCCTTGGCGTCTGTAATACCAGTCCTAATAAGATAAGGGTCGTCGCCTTCAAGGGGCATGTATAGATAACGCTTTCGTTTGTGCGCATACGTGCGAACATATTTTTGTGGAATTGAGTTGCCGGGGCTTCCAACTTGCTGTTGTTGAGGCCCCATATGGCTATCAAAGAACCGCCCCCACCCTATAATCTCCGCGCTCTGTGACGTTTCCTTGGTTCAGTTGGTAAGTTTTTACGAAAATTACCTCAAACCGTAATTATTTTATTATGAAAATCTGTACTTTACTAAATATTAAATATATAGAAAAAATTACGTCAAAAATAATATAGAAATTTTTATGAAAAAATATAGAAAAATGAAAGTCAGTATTTTACGTAGAAATTAGATCAAAAACTGTACTTTACTAAAAACGGGAGAAATTACGAAAAATTAAATATGATGAAAAAATACGTCTTACTGTACTTATAAAACGGAGAAATTATATATGGAAAATAAAGAAATTATTTCGTGTATTACGTCTAACTAAAAAATTATGAAAAATTGCGTATAAATTACGTCTTACTGCACTTTACTAAAAATTATGAAAAATTTAGCGTTAAACTGTACTTTACTATATATAGAAAAAATTATTTTACGAAAATTACCACAAACCGTACTTACTAATGAAAAATTAAATATTACATCAAACTAGACAGAAAAATTATTAAAAATTAAATATGAAAAATTTAGCTTTAACTGTACTTTACTAAAAAATTTATGAAAAATTTAGCGTTACTGCCACTTTATAGAAAAATTACGAAAATTACCTCAAACCGTACTTACTAAAGACAGACAAATTATGAAAATAATAAATATGTAAAAATTAATGAAAAAATACATCCTGCTGTACTTACTAAAAACGGAGAAATTATATATGGAAAATAAAGAAATTAGTTTGTGTATTAATTACGTCTAACTAAAAATTATGAAAAATTACGTCTTACTGTACTTTACTAAAAATTTATGAAAAATTAAATATAGAAAATTACTAAAAATTTTGAATATTTTTTTTATGGTAAAGAGTCATTGAAAAGCCGCTTATCATCACAACGGATCTGTTTAGTTTGAAACACAGCCGTCGAGATGTTTGAATGGCGCTGGGAGTACAGCGCGTATTTCCTATCACAAGACAGCCGTTTTTTTCGTTTCGATAGCCCGAAGGCCTTTCGCGTTCACGAACGGATTTAAGTATTTTCGCGTTTGGCTGAACCCTTTTTTCGTTGGTAAGGAAAAATCCAATGATTACCCTTAGGTAATCGTGTAAGATAGATCCCTACACGACGCGATACAGATCTAAGCCAGTATAGAAGAAGTATTAAATCTGTATTTACGACGCGATCTGAAAAAAATGCAGAAACTGGAAGCAACAACATGCAAGTAATAACTTACCCGTCGGATCTCCGCGTCTCTGTTGTTCTCTGATTTGCTTTTGGCCATTAAAATGATCTTCTTGTATTCGCACCTTTCCATGCCGCTCTCAATTTTACGTATATTTTCATGTAGGACCATTCCTCTGCCTATAAAATTAATACTTTAGATTCGATCGCCATTTTGTTAATGACTGTTAGTAGTTTCGTCGAAGGTAACAGTTTAATTGTTTTTTGGCTGATTTATTAAATAAAAGCTTTTTCATGACGTTTTTTGAATTTATGATTAGTGACTTTTTTTCCTGCTGAAATAATAATAGGATTTTGATTGATTTTTTGCGATTTATTTTCAGTTATAGGTTTTTGGTTTTTACCTCGTTTTTAAAATTTTTAAATTCTAAGTTTCTAGCATTATTTTACGGGGCATTTTAAATGATTTTATGATTTATTTTCAATTAGAAATTTTCTAGTAAGTTCTAAGTTTCTGGTATTATTTAACTGTAGATTTTGAAATAATGTGATTTTTATGAACGGCTCCAGGTTTTAATGCTTTTAATGATTTTTAATCGGTTTCGTAAAGATTAATGATTATAGGATTTTTTAAATAAATTTTCTTTTTTAATCTGATTTTATGATTTATTTTCAGTTAGAAATTTTGATATTTTCTTGTAGTTTCTGGTATTATTTAACTGTAGATTTTGAAATAATTTGATATTTTTATGAATAGTTTTAAATGCTTTTAATGGAATTTTTTCGTTAAGATTTTTAAGATTAATGCTTTTAATGATTTTTAATGGAATTTTATGATTTATTTTCGGATGCGGGTTTTTCCTGTTTTTTTAAATTAAATTTACGGGATTTTGAAATTGAAATGATTTTTATCTGATTTTATTGTTTTATTTTCGGATGCAAGTTTTTAGCCTGTTTTTTAAATTTATAATTTTTTAAA